TAGACGTAGGGTGGGTGGGGGGGGGGGCGAGCTCCTCAAGTAGAGTGAATCATGCTCAGCTCCGCTGAAACTGCTCGAGGGACCTGCCCTACTGCCTCCAGACTTGTTTGCCAGGCCACTGTCCATCAAACTGCGGCTCCCACATGACTCCATGCACCCGCGTGCAGACAGAGCGGAGCTGCAGCGGCTGGCCTCCGCCATCACCCAACTCTATGACCTGGCAGTTGCCAGGGTGCGGCCCTTCATGCCCCATGGCACCAAGATCATGTCCCTGCGCCTCATGCAGCAGCTGTTGGCCGAGTTCCAGGAGCTGTGGCGCCCGGAGGTGGTGGAGAGCCTGCCCTCCAATGGGTCCCGGGCCCAGAGCAAGCCCCTGGACGTCGCCGGCTTCGACCCCTTTGGCCCACAGCGCATGAAGGAGGCCACCATGCAACTCGTTAGTGAGTCGGGCTTTGGGATTTGTACTTCTTGTTCTGGGATCTGTGCATGCCTGGTGGTGACAAGTGTGCACTCATTACCCTGCATGCCTTTGTAGACTGTTACTATTACTTGCCCTGGCCTTCTCACATCCCCTGCAGATGCCAGCATCGACTCGTGGGACGACGTGCGATGGGCGGCCATGACGTGCCTGCGCCTCCTGCCATCTCCCTTGCCTGGGTACGAGGAGGAGCAGCCAGCCGCCCGATTGCTAGATCTCGCGTTTGAGTTCGGGCTGTCTGACAACGAGGCTGAGGCAGAGTCTGGTGAGGGGGCAGATCTGTGTGCTGAGGTCTTGCTTGGAATGCTACCCTCGAGTACATGCCGATCAGACATCTACAGTTCCCTTGTGCCCTGACATGAGCACACATGAATCAGTCTTTCCATGTCACCACCTTCCCTTACCCTCTGGTTCTCAGGTGCGATGCTGCTGGGGGTGCTGCTCAGCAAGGAGGACTGGGCGCCAACGTTTGCGCCCTGCGGCAGTCAAAATCTGAACACCTCCAGCATCCAGGGAAGGACGCTGCAGGAGGCAAGGCGGCGGCTTGACCTTGCCAAGACCAACCTGGACGAGGCATGGGATCGAGGCTTCATGCTGCAGCCCTTTCTCATACTACGGTGAGACATCATACGGGAGGAGGAAGGGGTGAAATAATGTTTATGCCTCTGGCCAGGGGCCTTGTCTCTATGTGAGCATCCGAGCTTATGGGAAGGTATAAAGGCTCCGTCAAATTTCCCTGACCTGCCGCCGTAGTCTGTATTGTTCGACTCCTCAGTCCTGGACGAGCCTCTTTGATCCACCTACCACATCCTTGCCCTCCTTTCCAGGCACTTGGTGCCTGAGCTGCCATGGTCCAAAATGGCAGCTACTGGCAATGTTAGTCTGAGGAGCGATCTGCTGAGTACCGCGTCGTGCATCCACCAGCTGATCATCGAAGCACTTGCCATTACCCTACAGATCCTGGCCAAACCACAAGTGAGAAGGACCTAGGACGCGAGGGCTATTGGGGCAGATGTCGGTCATGAATGTGGCCGACTGTAGAGCAGGGCTATATTGACTCACAGGAGCTCCAAAGTGCTAAAGGAGCTGTGCACAACATTACCCCTCCCCACTCCCTCCGCCTCCTCAAAGGAGTATGGCGTGGATGCAGAGGGCGTGCTGGAGGGCGATCCTCTCACAGACGGCGAGAATGTAGAATGGGACGCAGAGGCCTCTCGACCCCAGCTGGTCACTCGCATGTCATGGGGAAGCTGCCGAGAGGCTTCCCTCCTGTGGATGACGCTTGCTGACTCCCTTCCGCTGCCAGGTACTGCGCAGGGGGGATCTAGCTGTTCTTGTACAGCAGTGTCTGGGGTTTGAGTAGAGGGTTTGCAGGTTGTGCTGAACATGAACGCTGCTGGAGCACAGACGGCAGCACACCCTGCATCTCCACCGCACAGGCGCCGCCGACCCCGGCCTGCAGGCTGCCGGCATAGCGCTTCTGCTGGACGTCGGGGCGCGTCTGGTGCATCAGCTCACCCTCCTGAAACACAGTGGTGCCATCGAGAAGTGCTCCCAGGCGCTCTCGGCTGTGTGCACGAGGTTTGCTGGCAGGCACTGGGCCTTTGGAGTCCTTCATGCTGGGCTGGAGGTCACTGGGCCCCACACTCACACCATGCAGGCCCTGGGTCCACCACTCATGGTGTACCTTCCTTTGTACAGCAGGCTTGGGGCAAAGAATGCGGCCTTGTGTTACTCACATCCTCATCGCCCTCCAGGCACCCACATTGCCCCCCTCCTCATGGTCTGTGCAGGGTGCTGGCCTCTGGGGTGAAGGAGCTGGACGTGGCTCCCCTGGCCTGGCTGGATGCCTTCCTCGCTTTCCTCTCGCGGCCGGGGCAGGGCCGCTCCGACATCGTGCGCCGCTCTGCTGGGCTGCCGGCCGGCATCCTGGCAGTCCTCGCTGCTGGCAGCAGCGGCACGTGGCGGGAGGTAAGGGGGGCTTTGGGGGGTTGGGGAGGGGCAAGCTGGATGGTAGAGTATTCACACCTGACCAAGGTTTCCCATGCCTCTGGGTGTATCCTGATTCAGCATTGCTGGTGGCACCTTTGCCTCAGCAATGCGGCGGCAGCACTGACTGGCGTGTCTGGCAACTCACCATCTGCGAGCCCAGCGCACAGACTTCCGCTCACCCCAGGTCCTCATTTCTCACGCCCTGCCCCGCCTGATTGCTCTGGCACACCCCGAGACCGAATCGACGGCCGACTGGGCGCCTCGCGTGCATGCCCTCAACACGCTACGCATGCTGTTCTCCGCCTCGGAGCTGGCAGACGGCACGGCGCGCCTCCTGCCCCAGGGAGTGGGCGCCTGCCTGGCAGGGCTGTCTGCCTCCCGATGGGAGATCCGCAACGCCGCCACCCTGGCCTATGCAGCCCTGCTTACTCGTGTCCTAGGATTTAGGAACGACGCAGTCCAGGTGTGTTACCCCTCGCATGCAGCCAAGACCGTGCTAAGGGATGTGTGTGGGGAGAAGGTTCAATGACTTGCCCTCTCGCTGGGAATATGCTCTCCCAGCAGGAACGTCTGCACCTGCGTGCGGGGCCAGGGAACAGGAAGGGACGGTGGTACGGTGGATCCCCTGCGGGACGCATGGGAGTCATGAGCACACATTAAGCTTTACAGCAAGATGGGCTCCTCACTCTCATATGCCATGCCAAAACCATCCCTACACATTGCGTACAGGAGGCAGCAGGCGCCAGGAGGGGCGTTACGGCAAGGGACTTCTTCCTGCGCTTTCCAACACTGCACCCCTTGCTTCTACAGCATGCTGAGGAAAGCGCAGCAGCACTGGGAAAGGGGTCAGACCTGCATGCCAGCACCTTCCCAGTGCTGGTCCTCCTTTCTCGGCTCAGGTGAGCAAAGGCTGCCATATACACAAGCCTGGTTTTGGGGAGTGCCCTGGGGGAGCCTGTGGGTCAACTGTGCTGATTGGACAGGCACTTGCATTGGGCTTAAGAAACACACCACCTGTTACCCCCAAGGGTGATGATTTGCAATCTTGGGAGCATGCTCGTCCACCTTTTGCAATCCTGAACCGATAATCTGGCTTGCAATCTCTCACACCATCCACCCATCGCTCTATCTGCAGACCTGACACAGAGGACGGCGTGCCAACCCCAACCGCCGAAAATGAGCCCCGCAGCCCAGCCGCCTTCCTGCCCGCCGTTGCTGCCTTTGGAGCGGCAGCACCACTGGCTGTGCGGGAGCTGGCGGCACGCGCCACCCTGTCACTACTCCCCGCCCACGGCAGGGGCGATGCCGCCGCAGCCTTGGCCAACCAGCTGCTTGCTGGGGTGGATGGCAGGACGGCGGGCCTAAACCAATGTCATGGCTGGATGCTGCAGCTTGGCGCCATTCTGCCCGTTGCTTTGGAAGGCAGGATAGTGGACCAGAGGATGCCATGGCTGGAAGCTGTTCTGGCGGCCATCAGGTGAAGCTGGAGTGTGTCCTGCTCCTCTTGCTTTCTGCAAGCATGTGGGGCCAATGCGATGTGCCCGTGTTCTCATGTGCGTTAGGAATCAGATTCCAAAGCAAGTGTGTATGAGTCTGCTGGTTTTGCCTACCCAGCCAGAGTCAAAGCACGGTTTGCTTTGCTACCTCGTATCGCCCCCCTCATTTTCCTTCTAAATATTGCAGGCGCCTCTTGCCCCTGCTCCTCACCGAGCTTTGGTGCCCTCCCCTGAGCTTGGCCTTTGTGAAGGTGACGGAGACGCTACGACTGCACAATGATAGCCTGCCCGGCCTCTCAGAGGCTGTTGCACTTGTGGCCCAGTCAGCCCATGGACTCCTACAAAGGTGTGTTGCAGGGCAATGCCTTGGGAAGAGACCCTGCGATGCCATGGCATGCAGGTCGACACTCACTCGAAATGGCAGCCGAGGCCCCGACTGGGTCTTGCGTCATGGACCGGAGCGCAGTCCACGACTTCAATAGGGCCTGTATGACCTCCTTGATACCTGCTCAATGTCAATGGCCGTCAATTTTTACTCCTTGACCCGCATCGTCATTATCGCAGGTTCCTCATGTGCCGGGAGGGCCAGGAGTGGCAGGCTCCCATGGCTGCCGACGTGCTCGAGGCGTGCGCCAAGCTCTGCTGGCAAGGGGCAGAGCAGGGCGTGGCTCGTGCTGCAGGTGGGCGTGGACTGGAGGCATCTGCTGGGTTGAATCGTGGCCATGGTCTTTGGTTACGAATCGTTTGCTCCACAACTTAGATGTTGCTGCACGTTTTCATGAAGCCCAGTTGCTCTCCCATCCACGCAATATTGCAGGCCTCGCACCTGCCCTGCTGACGTGCAGCCTCCCCACTGTGATGGCGACGGTGGCCGATAACCTGGACCCCTGCGCATTTCACACACTCCCTCCGGCGACCCAGGCCGCCCTCGCGGCGACGGCGAGTGGGGAGTGGCACCAGCGGGCCCGTCTGGCAGCACTGCGCCTTGTTGCGTGGCCTCGCCCATGCAGTGCCCACCCTGGCGCCCTGGACCCCATGGCCTCGCTGGACCTGCTCACGCTGGCGAGCGGGGGGACCGACGACGCGCGCGCGCGGGCGCTGACGGCGCTGGCGGCCGACGTCGCTACACGGGCGGCTCCAGGGCCTGATCTGGGGGCGGGCATGCTCGGCTCAATGAAGCACGACCTCGACCCTCCGACCTTCGCCGACGCGCTGGAGGCCGTGGCGGCGGCCGCACTGCCCTCCGGCGACGAGGCGCTGCGGGAGGCCGCGGCCCGCGCGCTGGGCACGCTGGGCGCCGCCTGGCGCCTGACGGCCTGGTGGGCCGCCCTGCTGGACCTGCTCCAGGACGAGGAGCCCGGCGTGCGCCTGGCGGCCGCCGCAGCGCTGGACGCGGCGTGTGCGGCGAACGGCGCGGACGTGGAGCCGCCGACGGTGCGGCTGTGCGACGCAGCGGCGGCCCGGCGGGCCGTCCAGGCCATGGGCAGCTTTGGCGTGACTTCCCGCCACGCCCCGCTCATGGCGCTCATCTGGGGCGGGGGGGGCGGCGAGGCGGCGAGGCGCGCACGGCGCGGGAGGGTCTACGAGGCTGACGCCGCGAGCACCTACGGGCATCCCATGCTGTTTCCATGGGTATGGCCTTCTGGTGTTTGCGTGTGATTAGGGGGCTGTTTGGTCTTGGGCGGAGGCCATTTGGCCAAATAGGACATGTACTGCAGTGTACAGTGAGTGCAGCCATGGCCGGCACGGTGCGCCGGTCTGCGGAGGACCTCCGGGATTGCAAGGGAAATAACCGTACATGATTCATCGTCCCATGCAGTTGGCAGCCGAATTCCTGCGTGGAATGGCACCCCCGAGAGAAGACATCGGCTTTCCAAGGGAATGGGGTGCATCTGCTGCAGCATATGTGCAGCAGCACCCACTTGCAGCGGGTGATCAGCCCGGCCCTGAATTCCTGCGGGCGATGCTGGCACTGGATATCCAACGAGGGTGGCAGAGGGAGCCATTTGCCTGACCCCCCTGCAGTATGCAAAAGGACCATGCACCTGTGGAAAGACATTTGGTCTCTCTCCACGATTACAAGTTGCCGCCAGGGCCGTGATTCGATTGCATTGGACCCCACTCTGAGGAAAGGCGCGCACTTCGCAAGCAATTGCACCGGGCTCACAAGTTTGCTACACTATCAGCAACGTTTCGAACTTGTAATGTAGATCAGATTCGGGTTGTCCTCTCTGTGTTCTCCCATGGGAAGAAAACGGAGGCGCGAGCCTTGCCAGGAGAGTGGCAGTCCGGGGCTACCAGACGCACGAGTAGATGCCGTGTCATCGCTTAACCTCATGGAGCTGCCGCTCCCCGTTCTCGCCAAAATTTTCCGGTTGACCTTGGATTTATTCCGCACACCATACAAGCAGCAGAAATGGTGGGAGGACTCCTGCCGCAGCCCCTTAAGGTGTGGCCAGCCTCCTAATTCAGACCTGACGCTGTTGTGTGGACCTTGTCTCTGACAAGCACATTGCATGGACAAATGCCCAGGCGCCCAACTCTACATATCCATACGAATGCCACCTTCTGCACCCCACAGCACCCTTCCACCGCTCTGCAAGGCTGCCATGGCTGTGTGTAAAGCCGCTGGTTTCTATGATATAATGCAAATAAACGCGCTGCACACTGAGGTGGACGTGCTCCGAGCCTATCAGGAGTTTGTGGAGCGCCACCTCAGCACCGTCAAGGCCTTGGAGGTCCGGGAACCGCTCGAGTGTGACTGTACCAGCAAGTATAAGGATTTCAGGGCCTGGTTCCCAACCTTGCTGACCAGCGTCAAGGCTCCATGCCTGGAGCAAGTCATTGGCGTGGTCTTGCCCAGAGTAGAGCAGCTGGATGTGGCTTCCTTGTCCCGGTCCATCCGCTCCCTTAACTTCAGCCTCGCCGGCGCTGACCCGGTGACGGACGTAGAGCTGCTGAGGTCGCTACTGCAGCTCCCCAATCTCAGCGAGCTCAGGCTGCTCGTGTCAAGGTGCGGTGCTGACTATTGGCTTGGGTGCCGCAGGCTGTTTGCCCACTTGAATACCTCCCGACCCAGACTGTACCTTGAATAGGTGCTGGAAGGCTTGTGAGAGTCTGGTGGTTTGCAGGCATGGGCCTGAGGGAGAGTTGTCTGCCCTGACAATCGTTTGCCGTGCAAGCACTGCCACCTTGCTTTACTCTCACGCCTCAGCACTCAGCCAAAGTCCTCTCCGCCCAGGGAGGTTCACCAAGCCCTGCTGGGGCCAGGGACATCGCTGGGCTCTTGGAAGCGGCTCCAGAAGCTGGAGCTGGTTGTGAACCGAGGGCATCCCAGCGACACCCTGGAGGGCCTCACCAGAGCCTGCCCAAACCTGACACACCTACACAACCATGAAGCCATGAGCCTGCCAAGCGACATTGGGGACCTGCAGTCCCTGCGCCACGTGGCGGTTGCGTGCTCAGACTCGACGCGGGGCGTTGCTGGAATCGAGCACCTGGGCCCGAGTCAGGCCCTGACCCTTCAAGTCGGGACAGTGGGCGATCTCCCCCCTGCACAGAGCCGATGTCGGTGGGTGCGGCTGGACCAGACGGACAGATATTTGCAACACCTGATCTGGAGGCTGGCAGGCCTGCAGTCCCTCCGCGGCTGCGCCATCACAAAACCCTTGATCTTCACGGACCCCTACCGAGGGCCCAGACTGTACATCCCCTGGCAGCATCCGCAGGTGCTACAAATCACCTGCAGGAACCACATACAACTCTGCCTGCCACCAAACCTCCTTGTCTTGGACCTACTGCACCTACCCCCGCTAGATCACCAGGGCAGGAGGATGCGCATGCCGTCCCTGACGGCTGATGAGTATATGGAAATTGAACAAAGGAATGAAGAACCCCTGGATAGGGAGGCCTGGGATTATGCTGAGGCCGAACGATCGAAGAATCTCTTCCTGCCTGGAAGCCTGGTGGCTCTGTGCCTCACATCAGGCACCGCGGCTGTTAGTCTTCCCAGCAGCGGCGTGAAGCGTAGGCTGCGACTCCTTGGGACGACACCAGATCGTTGTGAGGCGGTCGGTGTGGAGGCAGAGCAGGTGGTCTTCGATAGGAGTGACTTTTGGAAGGCGGTGGCACGCCTGCCGGAGGTGATGCTAACTCCAGAGGAGGAGGAAGTACTTGAGGAGTTTGAACGTCCCCTCAACATCAAATCGGAGGAGGAAGAAGTGAACTCTAGGTACAGAGCATGTTCCATATGGAAGTTGTAGGAAATACTGCTCCAGCTAAATGTATTTCAAAGCCAGCATCAGGATGTCCAGAGTCATGAGTCAGTAAACGTCTGATAATACAATCACGCAGGCGTTCCCTCAATGAAAGACTTGCCAGCGAATTCGCTTCAGAGGTGTCATGCGCAGATTCCATAGCTCCTACAACCAGGGAGGCGTTGAGCGAGATGGGGTAGGGTCGGGGGTAACTCCCTTGGACCGCTCATGTCAAGCAAGGAGTTGATAATGATCAAACATGATAGTTGTAGTCTTGCATCCAAAAATGGATCTTAATTTGCCAATCGTGCCGAGAAGTAGCTAGGGTTTTTAATAAAGCAGTACCGAGCCTATACGAAGAGGACATGAGCAGAGGACTTGATCTTCATGCTTATGAAGACACGCCGAACTCTCATTCTTAACCTTGCCGGTACCTCGAGTTCTGGCTTGGTACAATCCTAGAGAAAGTTCACATTACATGAGCCCTGACCTATTATTTGTCTGCATAAGTGCAACTGTACATTTGGCAAGGCAGTGAGCATCGGCACAACTCCACTCCCAAACCGAAGTTGCCAGACCCAGGCGTCAAAGAACAAGTGGCCCACGGAGTGGGGGTACGATCGCCAGACCGATACCAAATGACCAGAGTATAGAATAGATACCAATCCTACACGAAACCCGACCCATTTCGCCTGGTGGAGGAATAACCGTGAGAATAGGCCCCCTGCCCGTTCTGGAGCACTTGGCTTGCGTCGTCACTATGGCGCTCGATGGCACCCTCCGCAACAGAGAGCAGTGCAACACGACTGAAACGACTAGATGGTAGACTCAATGCGATCTCTTATGCCCTGGATCTCGGCATGGGCGGGCGTTTGCAGGCTGCCCGCATGGGCTTCTGGCAGCCGTCGGCGTCACTCATGGAGGTGCCTCGCGACGAAGTCCAGCACCCCATCAGCCACAGGTTTGTGATGGGAATTGGGTAGAGATTACACCGGTGCCTTACAGAGTACCCCGTGCTCCTCCCTCGGCGGCTGCTTCAGGACACACGCAGGCATACCCTGCTCAGCACCACCAACAAGCACCCTCCTGCAACGCAGCAGCGCAAGACTGTGATGAGGATGCCACGCCGCTCCTTGTGCCCTTCAGCGTCTCTCCCGCTGCGGCCAGGACCGAGCTCCTGAGGTGGCAGCGGCAGAGCTGGCTTGCGCCCTGGAACGTCCTGGCAGAGGGCACCTGGAGGCTGCGCTCTGCCTACCTGCCCTTTTGGTCGTTCAGAGGCTCAGCCACTGTGCACTGGACGGCAAATGTAACCAGGTGGGGTGGACTGGGGAGGTGACTCGTGCGATCATGCCGAGGTTGGAGGTTGTCATGCGTTACACCAGCAGGGCCGCACTTCTTGTAGGAGTGGTTGGGACGAGTCTGGGAGCTGCCTTCCGTACAGGTGCCTGACATCTGCCCGAATCACCTTCCCCACCCCTGGCGCCCTCCCTGCTTTGCAGCGGGGGGGGTTTCACCTCCTGCCAGCACTGGAGTGGGAGCAGCCCCGTGAGCTTTGGGCCCTGGGAACCCAGCTCCCTGATCTACGCCAGCTATCGGTACCGCCGGGATTACGTCGCCGCCCTGCCGCACCTCGGCTGGGAGCGGCAGCTGCGACGAGAACCCTGGGCGGCCGCCTGCGAACCAGGCCGACTGCCCGGCCTCAGCCCCGAGGCGGACCCCCCGGACATGAAGCAGGCCATCGCCTGGGAGCTCGCCGTCCAGGCCATGACAGAGGACCAGGTGAGGAGCTGCCTGGAAGGCGCTGGCTGGTGGGCGGACGGGAAGCCTGCTGCGTCCTCAGCTGTGCGCTCAGCCCGGTCTTGGGGACCTTGCGTGGGTGTGCCATGGCCGATGAGTCCCACCGGACCTGCTTCCTGCCGAGTGAGGCTCTTCCCCCCTCACCCCTCCCTCAACAGTCCAGGAGGGGCAGGGAGGAGCTGTCTGCCAGGCTGGAGCCCGGGTCCAGCGTCGCCCACATCCACGCCCGCCTCTCCTTCCGCGAGCGCAGCGCGCAGCTCGTCTTCCTCCCCGTGCACGCCATCGCCTACGCCTGGGGCGAGACCTTCAACGTGCACAGCGAGCGGGTACCAGACACCTACATGGCGCTGGTGTCGGGAGGTGGAGGTGCGAGTCCTGAGTCGTGGGGCGCTGGGGGCTGGTAGGGGAGTGGGCAGCCGCAGTCGAGGACGGCGAGTGGGAGCGGGGCGTGAGCGAGGCGAGGCAAGGGTCGGCGATGCCCCCCTGGCGACACTCGCCCATCGCCCACCACCCTTTTGCCCATCGGGCAGCACCCGCCCCAGTTGCCACCTCGGACACCTCCCTGCCCCCAGGCCCGGTGCACGTGGCAGGGCAGCGGCACTACAGCCGGGTGCGGTGCTGCGGCCTGGCTGCGGCGGCGACGGCGCTGGGCGGGTCCCTGGCCTCCTGGGCGTCCGGTTCGAGCGCGCCGGGGCTGTGGCCCTTGACCCTGGAAGGGACCTTTTGCTGGGGGGTCGCCGGAGCGGTGGCCGGTGCGCGGTGGGGTTGTGATGGTGGAGAATCGTCTGTGCGGTCTGGCACCTGCGAGGGTGTGCTTGCCGGGACTGTGATTGAGTTCCCTGGGCGACCTGCCGTCGCCTCCCCTGGCTGCCCTTTCCTGGTCCTGCTCACCCCCCATTCCTCCCGTCTCCCCACAACTCTAGGTGTCATGTCGAGACTGGGGCCCGCCCAGGCAGAGCGCATGGCGGAGGACCAGAGGATGAGGGAGGAGGAAGGGGACCTGGACCGGGCGCTGGGGTATGGGATCGGGCCCATGGCCGCAGGATCCGATGAACAGGAGGTGACGCTGGTGGTGCATCCCAGGGGAATGGCCCATGGGCTGGAGGTGGGAGTGGCGTATTCGGTGCATCATACCATGGCACAGTCGCAATGAGCGTTACACCCTGACAGGCTCAAGCTGGCATCCATTCCTGTGCCTTTTTCACATCAGGCAGCCATTCACGTGCAGCTGTCCCCCACTACATCCTGCCTCTGCTGCAATATCACATCACTTCTCCCCACCCCCCTCCCCCCACCCACACATGACCGCATTCACACCTCACCCCTGTCCAGGCGCTGCTCACAGCCACTGAGTGGAGGCGGTGGGAGAGCTACGACCGGCGGCGCTGGGAGGAGCACAAGCGGCGGGCGTGGGCAGAGGACCTGTGGCTGGCACAGGCCAGGAGGCGGCGCGAGCGACGCGAACTGGCCTCCAGGATGGCCGCGGCGGATGCGCGCGCCGCGGCGGACGAGGAAAGGGAGAGGCGGCGGAGCATGAAGTATGGGCCCAGCAGCCGCCACAACCGCATGCATAGGTACAGGTCGAAGGGTGTTTAAGGGGGGCAGGCAGGAGGGAGGGGGTCCTCGGGGATCTGCGTTTGTGTGCCCCTCACCCTGACCGAGGAGTATCGAAGGGCCACACCGACGCACAAGGACATCAGCCCACCGCATTTCAGAAGCCAGGTCCGTATGCAACCCCCTCCAAGCCTCAGGCCCCAACCCCCCCCCTCACAAACTCACACAGTCAGCGTCCGCATTTCAGTGGCGGACACAGGGCGGGGGGACGCTCTGATTTCCTGGGTTACTATGCGGCACTGGACCTTCAGCTGTCCGGCGGGCCCGTGACGACCGACGAGATCCGCCGCGCTTTCCGAAGGGCGGCCCTGAGGTCGCACCCGGACCATCAGGCCCACCAGCAGCAGCAGCAGGTGCGTAAGCTGCCCTGCATGGGAGGCGTCAGGGTGTGTGCGATGGTGATTGGGGTGAGTTTTGCACCATCTGGTGCCAACACGAGGTCCCCAGTGATCTCTTTGTGACGCTCAAGCCAACCCCTTGACCCCAGGGTCGGACACTCAGCAATAAGGAGGCCCGGGAGAGGTTCCACAGGGTCCGAGCAGCGTATGAGGTGCTGAGAGACCCCCAGAAGCGAGCACAGTACGATGCAGGGCAGCGCCCAGACGAGTAGAGTTCGATTGCGGCCCAGGACAGCGAAGCAGCAGCCTTCCATGCGCACATTCTGCTGTGCGGATTGTCGAAGGATCCCTCCCTCCTACCGTCGGCGATACGTACCTCTTCGTTATGACTGACACTGCACCTGGACTGCACAGTCTCCTTTTCTAGTTGCTCTGCAAAGCTATGCTATGGACACACAAGTCGCCATCAAATCGCCAAGGCGCACAGACCCTTCATCTCGTTACAATCAGGAGCCAGGTGTAACTGGAAGTGAGTAGGGCACTGCACTGCTGGTATCAGGCACAAAACGAAAGAATTCGGGACTCTTTTGCTGGGAGTCTGGATGTCATGCAGTTGCAATCAAGAAGCCAGGAGAAGGGGGATGTCGATCTTCACCATGCATAGAGAGGAGAGGGCCGTCTCTCGTCGCAGATTTCCTCCATATCTTCGAGGTGATGATTGGAACAGCGAAAGAATGCGTGAGGAAAACCGTGCAAACATCACCTGAGGGTCAACTCAAGGCGTGGGTCATGTCGAATCGACACATCGCAGCAAGGAGCGGCTGTGGGCTTCCAAAGCTCACCAGGGCTCAGGCCCGGAAACCATCCTGGAACCGTCCCTCACCCCAGATCAAGGACTTTTCACTGCCTGCCCTTCCTGGCCGCCAGCCACGCCGCCAGCCCCGCCTGCTGCCGGGCGTTCAGCCGCACGCGGGGCCTCGCGGCCACGAGCATGGCCACCGCCCCCGCGACGTCGGCCGCGTCGCCGCGGGCTATCAGGATGGCCGCCAGCATGGCGGCGCTGCGGCCATGCCCGTGGGCGCAGTGCACGAGCACGCCCCGGCCAGCCGCCACCTGGCGCTCGCTCCACGCCACGCCGGCCTCGATTTGTTCCACGGTGGGGCCTGTGGGGGTGCAGAGATGCGAGTTGCTCATGTCCGGGGCTGGGAGGCAAACAACAGTCGGGGTGCAGCCTGATGCACACGTCGGCATGTCGCGGCAGGGGCTCACTCCAGCTTCTCCCCTCCCCAACCCCCTTCCCATTCCACCATGCGCACAGTGGGTGTCCCAGGTGGGCAACGCCAGATAGGCGGGGGCGGCCACTTGAAGTGGAAGCTCGCAGGTCACGTCAAGCACTGCCAGCTGGGCGGCCGGCACCAGGGCCTCCTCGGATGGCCTGCCGGGGACAGGGGGGCGGGGGAGGGTCCATACCAGTCACTCGACGGCCAGCTAGCCTGTCAAAACAATGTCCTCGGGCTAACACTGCATAGAGTGCATAATGCTCCTTTTCAATTCATTGGCGCGTCCCCACGCCCAGCCCCGTCCCCCTCCCGTTTCCCTCACCAGGCGCCAATGTAGTAGTCTGCGGTGACCCTGTTCCAGATGGGTTCGGACGATAGCTGCCGCTGCAGCCCCAGCTTGGTCCGCAGCGCAGCATGGTAGGGCCAGAAGAGGGCAAGGTTGAGGGGCTTGAGTGATCCGTGAGGCGTCTGCACACGGTGGCAGAGGTGGCCGATTGTTGACAGCACTTTGCACCTTTTTATGCTGAGAGCTTGCAATCCGGTCCCCCGCCAATGTCTCTTCATCTGGCCAGAGTCATGGCTGAGCCTGGATCTCCCCATTGCATCCCCCTACCTTGCCAAGCATGCCGGTGGTGTGACGGGCTAGGTGGCTGGAGGCGGCCAGGGCCACGAGCAGGCCCGCGCCGGCAGCGTGCCACAGCACCAGGGTCGCTGCCTTGGGCAATGTCGACCTGCCGGCATAGGCCAGGAGTGCCGGTCCAAGAGACGCGCCGCCGACGACCCCACTCAAATGCATCGTCTCCCAGTCTTCAAAGGACGATGGCGCTGTTGGCCACTGTAGGTTTCTAGGCTGACAACCGCTTACCGATACGGGGGGCCAATCCTCCCTCCACACTCTAAACAATTCCAGTGCTGACAAATATTTGTATAGATGAAAGAATTCCTGAACATTTCGAATCGCTCGGTGATATAATAAGCAACTTATCGGCAATGTCTCATCCGGAGCATGCGTCGAATGCTGTCTCGGAAGAATGATCACCTCGGCGCGCGTTCGTGCTTGTGCAAGCAGTGTTTGGCAGTCCTTGATCCTGAGATCTTCAATTTTGCATCATGACGGCTGTTATGATTCTCAGATATCGCCAATGTCATTCCACACCCTGATGACCATGCGGTGACAGGAGCGTATGGACCCCCAGCTGCGACGTGCGCTCCAGTTCCGAGCTCGCGTAGAGGGAATGTGAGACCATAATGTTGAGGTGGTGCGCTTGGATCAACATCCAGCACTGCCGTCGAATGCTCTTAGGGCACCTGGCTGACCCTCTTTATACACCGTTACTTCAGATTCAACAAGCGGGAGGAGGACTTCGAGTCTAAGCAGGAGTATGATGACTACCTCGAAGAGCGAGAAGACATCAGTGAGCTGCCCTGATTTAGGCATGGGAGTCCCCAAGCCCCACCATCTTGACCCACCTACTTGCCATGCCCCCTGTGCGGTCATGAAGCCTCTTCCTGGCTCATCCTTGTAGACCTCTCCTCCTACCCCGACCGCCCTACAGTCTTCAATCTCTCCGAGGGCATCGATGTCAAGGCCAACGAGGCCAGGGTGGAGGCGTACCGCCTGGCCAACGCCGACGCGATTGCGGCCGCGGACGCGCGGCGTGCCGAGGAGGTACGCCGCGAGGCCGCGCTGGAGCTGAGCCGGGGGGACCCGGGCACGGGTCAGGGCGCTGTCAGCGGCACCGCGGCAGCCTTCGAGGGGGGCCGCGACGCTGAGCCCCACCAGGGCATGGACTACACCGCGACCCTGCCGGCAGGCCTGCTCAACCACGAGTGCGTTGGGGGGTCTAGTACGGTGTCGTTACCAAGCTTTGGAGGTATGGTTGACTTGATTGGGTGGTGCGAGCAGCGCTCGTGCGTCAAGGGTTTCACGGCCACACCTATAGTGGGAGCAGATGCGCCCTTCGCCAAGCTCCAAACCATTCTGACCGCATCCTTCCCAAGCCCTCCTGCGTCCGCACCGACCAGGCCTGGCCAGCCGCCCCCTGCGACTGCGGCGGGGCCCTTACCAGACATGCTGGGCATGCTCCGCGATGGCGACATCTCCCATGCCGATGCTCGGACGCCCATGGACAAGGCGGCCTGGCAGGCCATGGCCTCGGCCAGCGGCTGGACCCCAGGTCAGCGGGGCACCCATTCATCCAGGCAGTAGGGGCAGTGAATGGTGCTTGAGTATGTACATGGAGTTGAGATGATCCAGGTGCAATGAAGCTGTATGGGCTCTTTGTTATCCTGGGAGTGCTGTGCTTGTCGCGGCAGATTTTGGCCACCCTCCTCTTTTCACCACAGTTTCCCACGCCCTAATACCCTTTGCACCCAGAGTTTCTGCGGACAAAGTGCAGGGAGGAGGCCTTTGACAGCGTGCTCGTCTTCTAGGTTCATCCCCTGCACGGCCACGCCCATCCCCGCTCGCATCTCTGCTAGTGGTCCAGATGCACGGCGTCTAAAGTGTGTGTACTTTCGATCCACATGACTCAAATGACTACTGCCCAGGGCAAGCTGCGCACCAGATGCTGGGTCGCTGAGAACTCGGAAAGCAACAGCATGCGTGCATTGCCAAGAGGGTCAGCGCCGCCTCCGTGGGCTGGGGCTTGGCGACGCCCGCCGCCGCCGGCGAGGCGGGCTGCTGGAGCTCGACCTCCCCGAGCTGCTGCTGGACCAGCTGCTGTTCGACCCACTGGACCGGCTGCTGGAGCCGCTCGAGCTGCTGCTGCTCCTGCCGGAGGACGAGGAGCTGGAGGGGCTCCGGCCCCTACGCCGTCCACGCACCGGTGAGGGGCTGTGCTCCCTTCCCTTGGACACCAGCGCACGGCCCGCCTCCTGGCGACGACGCGGCGGCGACGGGCTCCCCCTCCGTCTCCTGGGTGAGCGCGGGCTCAGGGAACGGCGACCCCGGGCCGGCGGGGTGGGACTGGCAGACCTTCGTGCCTTGCTTGCTGCCGGCGCACGTGAGCGAGACCCGGGCTGCGGCGAGGCCTCCCTGGCGCCTCGCCTCCTGGGCGGCGAGTCGGCGACACTGTCCCTTCGCCTCGGCGGGGAATCTTGCCGCGCTGGAAGGCGCCGAGGGCCCCTCGCATCCTCCACGTCGGCCGCCTCCGTCCTCGCCCGTCCCCGCGGCGGCGATGCGCTAGGATGCCGGCGTGCCGCCGGGCTAGCCCCCGCTCGCCGCTCGCGGGCCGGAGCGTCGGCGAGCCCCCTCGAACGCCCTCGCTTGGGTGCCCGGCTGGGAGAGTCGTCCCTCGCCCGCACGCCTGCGTCCTTGCCCCCTGCATCCAAAGCTCCCCTGTTCCCCACCTCGGCCCCTCCCCGCCGGGCCTCTCTGGACGGCGAGTTGGAGACCTCTGGCCGGTCCTCCAGCGGAAGGGGGGGCTGGGGGTTGTACCTGTCGGTTGCCTCCACGTCCCTGGTGTAGTATCTCTCAGACTTCCACCGCTTCTCCTCAGCCTGCGCAATGGGTGTGTAGTTTGGGACTTGGCCTCCCTGGTGAGAGGGAGGTGGAAGTGCTGCAGCTCCTCACACACGCAGTGTGCCAGCACGACCCTGGCGGCCTGCATTCTCTGCTCGCCATGCACGCTCCCTGTGCCCCAGCTTCCCACGCCAAGTCCACACCAGCCACGTACCAGGCGTGCTGCCTCTGCCTCTTCTGCAGCCTTCTTGGCATCCTTGATGGTCTGCTTGGCGGCCTTCTTTGCTGCCTTGGCTGTGGACTTGGCCTCGCGTTCACGTTCGCGCTCCGCCCGCCGCTTCTCCTTCTCGGCACGCTTGGCAGCTTTCCTGTTTATTTTATCATGCGACTTGGGTGCTCACTGCTCAGAAGTCAGCTCTGAGAGGAAGGCGGTCGTTTGCATGCCTGGAACAGGATACCACCAAGGAGACTGCATCAGGTTTCGATGAGACTCGCCACGGGCCTCGAGCCAAAGGCCTCCCTTGCACCTCACCTCCGCTCCTGCTCGCGATTCTCCCTCTCGGCGATCTTCTCCTGGCGCCGACGGTCCTGCAGCTCCCTGTCGAACGCGTCGCCCTCCTTGGTCTCCCCGATGCCAAAAGCGCCTCGCAAGCGACCCATCTGCTCCACCTTCCTGGCTGCTATCTGGTGCGTCTCCTGCTTCAGCCTGTTTGCGTTGAAATGAGGGAAGAAACTGGTAAGAGGCACAAGGTGAGACCAACACTGCACACAGAGCACACCCAACTCCAGCTGTGAACTTCACGACGAGCCAGATCGCAGAAAATAAACAACCACAGATCCATCCTCAAATTTCATCCCCTGTGCAAGCAGCAGTGACAAAAAGACCCACAGCTGGCCAAGGGCACTGACCCAATGCCACGCACTGTTCATCCTTGTGTTGTAGGGCTACAGCGCTAGCTTCCTCCTTGAGCTTTGCAAGGAGCTGGCTCCGGTAGGCATTGAGCTTCTCCTCCACCTCGTCCTCGGGCGTGCTGCGGTGCGTGAGTGGGAAAAGATGAGCAATGACAGGATAGTGCAGCTGTGCGAGAAATCGAAAGCCATCCGAGGAAAGGCAGGGGGGGTTTCCTGTACGGAGGCCCCACCATCGCTCTACTATGCAGTATGGTCATGACATCGGCTGCCCAATCACGTGCCACCTGAAAACTCAGCCCTAGCAGCCTTCATACCGTACTCTAAAACCCATACCCACCCGTCGTCCTCTAGCTGAGCACGCATGACCTCCACCTCCAGCTCGACCGCCCGCTTCTTGTTGTGCTCAAGGATGCCTGCATTGGGCTGCCGTTGGTCTGGGCCTCGCTCCTCTCGCTGTTCGTCCCGGCGCTGGAAGGCATTCCCTCGCAGGTTGAACTTGTTGTTCGTGACATACCCACTGGTGCCCGACCCTCGTGCGGTCAGGAGTCCGATGCCTGCGGAGCATAAGAGCAACTACACGGTGAGCACTGATTTGCACATCCATGCTTCATGCAGGGTCCGAAATGCAGTCGGGGCGCTAATACACGTACCATTATACATCTTGAAAGACGAGGCGAGGCGCCAGGGACCCGCAAGGCGCTGGGCACCTTTCCACGAACAGTGGGTGCCCCTTGCAGGTCAGCAATGGTCTGCAGCAGGCGATAGGTCCTCGGCAACAGCGCGAGATTTGATCTTTCCCGTTCCAAATTTCAGTATATATATTCACAGGGTCTGTTGTGTGCGCGTCCACCCTGCACTGGGCTGGCAAGCATGGTTGAGGCTCTCAGAGACATCAGCCTGGGTACCTCAGTACCCCCTTCGTTCTCCCAAGCCAGCTCATCTGAGTGTTATGGTCTGGTGCGCTGTTCCCCACCGCAGAACCCCGTCAAATAGGTGTGACAAATACCTGGTTCGACTGGCGAAGAAAATCGACTCATCCCCGCCCAAGAGGGCACGAGGCCATGTCAGGCCTGCAGGGTGACGACGGCTTTGTCGGAGCTACCGTCACCCGCGACGAGGTTGGTCAATGGGAATCGCATTTTGAGGATCCTAGAAACTTGAGATGTATGTTTGCCGGCTCATCTCATGGCTCAGATCGACCATTGACGAGGCACGTTTGATCTCTCGTTCGCAGGGCCTTCCCGATGACTTCTTCGATGCCTCAGCCTACTCCTTCTTCGGCACCACCGGAGACGATGTCGGGGGCCTGGAGGGAGAGCTGGAGGTGAGCGGGTAACGGCGGGGAGGCCCTCGGCTGGGGTTCTTGTGGCAGCCTGGCCAGCTTGTGATGGGCATGGAATACATCCATTCACCCCCTTGCCTGCAGCTGGGGTTGGAGGGCCCGCCCGAGGAGGAGAGCTGCGTGGTAGAGGACGACGACTACTACCTGGGCTACCATGCGGAGGGGGCAAGTGATGAGGAGGACCTGTCCCTGGCCAGCCTGTATGCCGTGGCTGGTGTCAGCACGCAGGTCCTGCCCAAGCCCGCCGCCGAGCCCGCCCCGCCCGTGCCGGCGCCCCCGCCCCCGCGGCCCAGCGGCAGCATCGCCTTGGGCGGTCTGCTGGCCGCGGGCGGCGACCGCGCCTTCTACACGCCGTCCCCCCCGGCCGCAGGCGCCCGCTCGCTGGAGTCACGGCCCGGCTCTGGCGGCCCCCCGCTGTCGACCTCGCTGCTGGGCCAGGGCCCCCTGCCGCCAGAGCCGCAGCCCAGTACCTACTACCAGGACCAGGGCGGCGCTTTCCAGGACCCCAGCGTTGTGGCGGGGGCCCCCGGCCTCCTCCGCCACCAGCAGGCACTCGCCGGCTATGCAGCGGCGCCACCCCCGCCGGTGGTGAGACTCGCCGGGCAGGGGCTCTGCTGCTGGCCTGCATGGTGTCGACCAGTGCGCCTGGAAGCCAGCCCTGTGTTTTTGCGCCGGCTGTGCATCGCCCCCCACCATATTCTGTCAGCCTGCCACAACACCCATTGAACCCCCCCTCATCAACAACACCCCTTGTCTCATTCCTCCTGGTGCAGGGCATGACCGCCAGCGCTCTTGAAGCCTCGCTGCTGGCGAGGTCGGCGGAGCCCCAGCCGCCGCCCCTGGGCCCCCCCTCGGGGCACCCCGTGCACGGCTACCCCGGCCCGCCGCCGCCGCCCCACTTCCCCATGCCGCCCCCGCCTCCCGGCCACGTGGATCATCGGGGTCACAGGCACTCAATGCCCCCGCCCCCGGGCTTCCCGGCGCACATGGGGCCCCCCCCGGGCTTCAGCGGCATGGCCCCGCCACCACTTCGCGGCCCCGCCCCGCCCGCATCCCACCTGACGCCCCCTCCGGTGCCCCCACCAGGCCCCCCGCCGGGTCCGTGGGGCGGGCAGGGCGGGCAGGCCGGCCCGCCGCCCCCACGCCCTGCGTGGGGCGCCACGGAGGCGGGCCCGCAGCAGCCGCGCCCGCCCAGCCCCTCCCAGTTCCCGGCGCTGGGGGCGGGGCCCCGACCTGGGCGCCCGGGCGCGCCGGCCATCCTCGCCAGGCCTGCCGCCGCCGGCGCTGGGCCCCAGGGCCCGGGCCCGCAGCAGCCCGGGATCGCGCAGCGCCTGCAGGGCCTCACCCTCGCTGACAGGTGGGGTCATAGGAACTGTGGGGTGTCTCATGGCGGAGATTGAGGACACCGTGGTCTGGGAGTGATTCACTTGCTGGCATGCCTGTGCGAGCCAGCGCTTGCATGTGGCCCAGGCTGTTTCACAGATCATCCGACCACCACGCCTTCCCCCTGCCCATCCACAGGTCGGCGCAGCCGCAGCACGGGAGAGGATCGGGCCCAGGACCTCGCGCTCGGCCGCCCCGGTACCAGAGCCTGTACATGAGCAGCAACGAGATCGACGGCATCCTGTACACCCAGGTGTGCCCACGGTGGGCGGCTCGGAGTGGTGCAGGAACCTGGCGACTGGATGCCCGGGCCATCGGTGCTCGGCCCAGCAGGCAGCCGATGCGACAAGCCGGTACCTTGCCCAGCAGGGGGGGCCATCCTCGTGGCCGACCTCCACGCATTGCCACTCACATCCCCATCCCTCCCTGCGTGCAGTGGCGGGGCCTGCAGCAGGGCCCACCCTATGTTGAGGACTACTACTTCCAGGGCTTTGTCTACAAGTACTACAACCGCAAGAACCGGCGCTTCTTTGCCCCAGAGTCTGGTGGGTGATGGCCTGTGGTGGGGTGGGGGGAGGTGGGTGAGATCGAGGACTGGGGCAGGGGGTGGCACCAGATGATCTTGGAAGGGGTCCAGAAGTCGTCTGAGTGTTGTGTTTACACCAGGAGGGGTGGAGTGTTGCTGCATGTTCTCTGCTCGACCTCACCCGCCGTCGGTCAGAGTCTCGAGCAAGCCCACCATCCCATTCCTCCCGCGCCGCCGCCCACCTGGATCCCCCCACGCACACACCGCAGTGCGCGAGCTGGCACCCACGGAGAAGCTGAGCGCCGACCAGGTGGCATTCGTGCACCTGGACGGTCTGGGCCGCGTGCCCTTCTCCAACATCCGCCGCCCGCGCCCCCTGATGGAGCTGGGCGGCGGGCCGGGTGTCGCGGAGGAGGGCGCAGAGGCCGGGCCGGGCGCGCCGGCGCGATCCCGGCGCCGGCGCCTGGATCAGGAGCCGCTGCTGGCTGCACGCATCATGATCGAGGACTGCATGTCCCTCATCCTGGACGTGCAGGACATCGACCAGATCTTTGTCGCGGCTGCGGGATGTGGGTTTTGGGTTGGAGGGAGGGTGTGAGGGTCGCAGGGATGGGGCCCTGGAGGTGGTATGAGTGTGCGTCGAGGGCTCATCGCCAGGGACGGCTGGGGAAGGGTGTGGAGAACATTTCAGTCATGCAGCGGTGCAATGGCACGAGAGCTGGGTAGGCTGGATCCACCCCATGCACATGGGCGGAGTCACGGCGCCTCTGTCAGCCATCGCCGCACCGACCTGCGCCTGTCTTCGCACTCCCACTCCAAGCACTCCCACTCTCAAGCTCTCTCAAACCCCCCACCCCCAACCCCAACCCCCGCCGACACACGCCCTCGCAGACCCCATCCAGGACGAGGCGGCGCTGCGCTCGCGGCGGCAGCTCCTGCTGGAGGGCCTGTCGGCCTCGCTGCGCCTGCCAGACGCGCCCGGCGCGAGGCGCGCCGCGCCGGACCCCGGCGCGCCAGGCGACGCCGTGTTCCGGCGGCTGATGGGCCTGCGCAAGGGGCGCACGCTGGCCGCGCGCGCGCTGCGCGTGACTTTCCCGCCCGCCGAGGAGCGGCAGCGCCCGCTGCCCCTGGCCCGCGCGGCGCCGAACCTGCGCCTGCTCTGGGCCGTGCTGCGCGGCGCGGGCGTGCTGTGGTCTGACCCCGGCGGCGGGGTTGCCGAGGCCGCGGACGAGCTGGCCGCCTCGGCGCGCCTGGCCGACGCGGCGGCCGAGGTCTTGGCGGCCCTGCCCGCGGCCCGCATGCTGGCGGACGCGGCCGTCGCGCTGGCCGCCGGGCTGGCCGAAGGAACGGCCGCCTCGCTGCAGGCGCCGGGTGCGCTGGCCGCCCCCGTGCCCGCGCCAGAGACGCCCTGGCTGGGCGGCGTGCTGGGCGCGCTGTGCCGCCGCGCAGGCGAGCTCAGGATCGGCGGCGGCGGGGGAGGGGGGGCCCCGGAGGTGGCGCCGCAGCTCGCGGCCGCGCGCATCGCCTGGGAGCCAGCGCGTGCCGCGCTGGCCGAGGCCGTGCTGGCGCTGGAGGGCGGGGAGGCGGGGGCCCTGAGTGCCGCGCTGGAGGGCCTCAGGGCCTGATGCTCCCTGGGTGGGCGGTGCGTGTGCGTGAAGCGATTGCCCCCGACCTGGCCCACATGGCATTGCAGATGACAACACAGTGTAACACAAGAGTGACAGGGTGTGCCTCTGGTGAATGGGTGTTTGAGTCGTGTATTGAGCTTTGTGCCTCAGTCTGGGCTGACAGACCCGTGCAGCACCCAGGAGGGAGGTCACGTTTCCGTGCACAGCCAGGGTCGATTGCCATCGGCCCACGCCCAATCCCAGGGGACTGCGTCAAGTCCCCGGGAGTCGGCGGTGGGGGATCAATCTCGCGCTGCCTCCCTCTGCCTTGCACCCCTGCCCCTGGCGACCGGATCTCACCATGGGAGCCTGTCACGACGATCACCTGAATTTTCCAAAGACCAAGAAGGAGGAGACCGAGGGGGAGGAGTCGGGAGACGAGGAGGAGTCGGAGGAGGACTCCGGGGAGGAGGAGTCTGACGATGAGCAGAGCTACCCCGATGTGGACGTGCCCTTGATGGCCCGGGACTGGGAGGCGGTGCTCGATGAGTCCATCACCTGCCTATCCATGGACCCCAGCGGCACCTACATCGCCGTGGGCACGGCGGAGGGACCCATTTCCCTCCTGTCGGCTGCCTCTGGCCAAACGGGGATAGAGCTGGCGGGGCACGATTGGGGCACCAATGCCGTTGCCCACCTGGGTCTCAGGAGACTGGTGTCTATTGGCGAGGACGGACATGCCCGTATCTGGACACTCCCGGTGGGAGAACTGGAGCCCAAGGTGCAGGCTATTCCTGTGCCACATGTCGATGCCGACAGGTGTGTGAGGATTTGTGTTGGAGGCTTACTTATGAGGGCAGGGAGGGATACTCCTTGATTGGAGCTCCAGCTGGAGCTCCTTTGTGCTCAAGGCCCCAGCCAATAGCATCACCATTGGAATGCGTGTATGTCCCTGAGTTGTCAGAGTACCAATACACCACGACAACAACTCCATTCCAGGACACCCGCCGGCCCCTGCGTCCGGCACCTGGCAGTGAGGGGCAATGCGTTTGCGTGCGCAGCAGGGCATCAGGCCACCTACTTCACCGTCGAACCCGAGACGGCGGAGGTCAAGGCCTATCCCCAGCCCCCAACCAAGGGCACTGTGCTGGATGTGCGGCTTCCGGTTGATGGCTCACTCGTTGTGGCCACCAGCAAGTCGGTAGCGCTGCTTGAGGAGATGGAGATCACCTCCAAGCAGCCCAACCCACTAGACATGCCCGTAGAGGTAGGTGGGCGGGAGCATGTGGTTCAACCCAGTATCTTGAAGGATTCATCACAAAGCTGCCAGATAAGTTCAGGCCCGGTGGCTGCCAAGAACACTTATGGTGCTCACCCTCCTCTACATCTAATCTTGCCCTCATCTCTGCAGGGAGCCTGCCTGAGCGTGGATGTGGATGCCAGCGGCAAGCATGTCATCGTGGGGTGCCAGGATCAGGCCGTGCGCATCTACCAGCTGAAGCGGACAGCCAAGGGGGCTGAAGTGGAAGTGGGTGCTGAACGGGGGCGTAGGATGGTGATCTTTGACGTGATTGTCATTTCGCTGATGCCTGTCTTGCTCGACTTTCACAGCGAGGTAAAGTGAGGTATAAACTGACGGCTTTTACCACTCCTGCAAACTTCCATACTCAGGAGTTTGCGGGCGGCGGCTACCACGGAAAGGTCACCCATGTGACATTTGATGCCCAGGGGCACAAGATGGGATCCGTGGGCGGCAACGTCGGCATAGGTGAGGCAGGCAGGGTGGGCAACAATACTCTGTGGCGTCCCAGACTTGCACACGACTGCACCCTGTGTCAAACCCTCCACCAACCCCTGCCAGATGCGGCAAGCACCTGAGCCGCACCCTCTCCCAACCATCCCCCCTCCCACCCAGTCCTGGACTTTGAGGGTGGCCCTGAGGACAGCAGCCCCACCCTGCTTGTCGGGCACAGCAAGACCATCAATGCCCTGGCCTGGCAGCCCGTGGGTGGCCTCGTGGCGACGGGCGGCGACGACGGCGAGGTGATCGTCTACGACCTCCAGACAGCGACACCCGGAAAGCCAGACTACTGCAGTCCGCTGGCTATCGGTGACTGCAAAGGGGACGCGGTCACCGCCGTCGTATGGGGCGATGGCGGTGTGCTCTTTTCAGGGCACGAGTCCGGCGCGGTGCGGCGGTGGAAGGGGGCTCCCACCCGGCTGATCATTGAGGAGGGGAGCAGCAGCAGTGACGAGGAGATGCTACCGGAAGAATGAGGGCGATGGCTGCACTGTCGGCAGTTGTGGGCCCGGAATTACTGAGTAAAATACAGTGAGAAAGCAAAATCCATCAGCATTGCCTCTGGATGCCCTGAAGTAGAATGAAACAATCAATGTTGGCGAATCTAGAATCCATGCTGATGTTTGGAACTTGCCACCGACTTCCTGCACCTGCAGCTGCATCCGTGAATGTAAAGGATGCTTGGATCTCACTACAGAAGGCAGTGATTGGGGAGTCATGTGCTGAAACCGCATCTCGTCTCACGAAGCAGTCGTCATCGGCCCGAACTTTGGCTAGGTGTTTGAACAACATCCAGGAGGAAAGGCCGGCACGCCTTCCCCTGACGTTTGAACAAGCCGTTCAAAGTCCACCCTCTGGCACCAAGTCCGTCAAAACGAGCGCCCGGTGTCCCTCGAGACGGATCTTGAAGTTTAGCTCTTGGACATATCCTAGAGTCTTGAGCGCCATGGTGAGCAGGGAAGCTGGGAGTGCAGGCCTTCGCGAAGCCAACTCGGCATGGAGAGACAGCCTGCGGATTCGTGACGCATAGTGCACTCCGTTTGACTCCTGAAACGTCTCTGGGTGATTGTTTCCACCATTTGTTCAGCCTGGCGTGTCACATTTGCCTTCCGCCTGCACCACAGGCCACCGGGCTCACCGCACAGACCTACCGTCGGGCGGTGACGACGTCCCGCCGGGATCGCAAGGCCGGACCCCGCGTCGGCCTGACAGAGGAACAGAGGCAGGAGATCAGGTGTGTGCGGGGAAGGCGTGCAGGAGCGTGGCTGCAAACCCCGATGCGGACGTGTAGGGGTCTGTCGCCGCGGACCGTCTGCCCCGATGTGACGTGCTGATGACGAGCCCTCCCATCACCACAGGGAGGCATTTGATCTCTTCGACACCGATGGCTCTGGCACCATCGACACCCGGGAGCTGAAGGTGCATTTTGCGACGCGGTTTCACGAAGCACTTGGCTCTTACCCTGGGCTTCTCTGATTGCTGTCCCAGCAATCACTCCTGGCACGACCAGCGCGCAAGTCAGCCAGCAACCACCAAATCTTTGTCACTCAAATCGAACTCCTGTTTTCCCAATACAGGTGGCCATGCGCGCCCTGGGCTTCGAGCCGAAAAAGGAGGAGGTGAAGAAGCTGGTGGCTGACTTTGACAAGGATGGCTCTGGGCTGATCGACTACGAGGAGTTCCTCCAGGTCATGACCACAAAGATGGGCGAGCGCGACGGCAAGGAGGAGATCATCAAGGCGTTCCGTCTGTTTGACGACGATGAGACGGGCAAGATCTCCTTCAAGAACCTCAAGCGGGTTGCCAAGGAACTCGGCGAGAACATCACCGGTGAGGGTGGGGATCGTCTGGATGCAAGGGATAATAAATCAGGGGCATCGAGCAGGAAGTCAACCCTTGCAGAATTGCACCTGCACCTGGCAAGCATGCATGTGGCTCGACCAATGGCACGCACCAGTCCCATGCCAAACACTTTGGCCCCCTTTCTGCGCAGATGAGGAGTTGCAAGAGATGATTGACGAGGCCGATCGGGATGGGGATGGCGAGGTGAACGAGGAGGAGTTCTTCCGCATCATGAAGAAGACCTCCCTCTTCTGAGCCACCCAGGTTCATTGTCTCTCATTCCATGGCATCTTGGAGCCGTTCTCTCGCATGGCAGGATACATGAGCAGCGCGCCATTGCTGCGCCTGAAGCCCAGCAACGGCCACACCATGCCGCCCCTCGGTTGCACCAAGGGCCGTGCACCACCTGTGTGGGTGCACAGACCGACAGCACATGAGCTGTGTGTCAGTTTTTGGCCTCGTCCCCTCCCACAGACCAGCCAGGGGTTCCCTTCCATCCGCTCTCTCGGCACCCTCCAGACCACTCGTGTTCTGCAGCTGCAAGATCATGTCACAATATTGAGGAAATGGACGGGAAGAGATGGTGTTGAAGCACAATAGGAGATGCATCGCAGGGTGCAGGCCTGGCAACCCTCCTTGGTCAAGCAAAGACGTCGTCGTCGTCGTTCCAGCCGCCCTGCTGCCAGCCAGGGTTGCCGTCGAGTGCAATGTCCTCGAAGAAGGCGGCGTCCTCCTGAGGGGGACAGCCCATGCCGCCCGCCGCCATCTCGCCGACAGCGGTTGACGAGGATGCTGCGCCCCAGTCGCTCTCAGGCTGGGCGTTGTTGTGGAAGGGCAGGGGTGGGGGCAGGCCCTCGTCTGCGGTCACGTCCTCGTCGCCATCCCAGCCGCAGAAACTGTTGGAGGCGGTCCACGCCGTCTCAACATCCTGAGCAACATTAAGTGGCTGCTCAGCCTCCTCCCCTGCTCCATAGTGGAACAAGGGTGCATGTTGCTCTGGGAGCACAGCCTCGGAGGCTTGTGCATCCACAGGAGAGCCTTCCGGCTCTGGCTCGTGGACCTGCGGCGCCTGGTAGGCCTGCGGATCGCAGCCTTGTGCCTCGTAAGGCTGGCGCTCAAAGCCTTGTGCCTCACAAGCCAGCGGCTCCGGCTCGTCTGGCACACTCTCTCCGTGCCAGGGGGGTGCAGCTCCAGATTCCGACTGCAGCGCGGCTGCCGCATCGGGCGACCACGCCTCCTGGGGCGCGCTCGGCGCGTCCTCGGCCTGCGTGGCCTCGTCGCCGCCCCAGCCTGCCTCCTCCTCCACGGCCGCCAGCGTGGCCTCGACCCACGCCGGATCCGCTCCCCGGTCTACCAAGGCCTGGACCAGGGCTTGCACCTGCGGAGGCAGAGTGAAAGGGTTGGGCACGGTGAGGAAGGTTGCAAGGCAACCTCACAGTCAACACACCATCCCACGAGCATGTGAGGTCCTCGTGCACGGCAGCCCCGGGCTCCAACCCTTCTCTCACCTTGGCCTCCTCCTGGCCGAGGGAGGTCAGACAGTCTGCAAGCTGCTCCTCCGCTTCCGCGATCTGAGCGGCGACGTCGTCGGCCGGGGCAGCCGCAGGGGTCGTGGCTGCCGCTTGGTCCGCGGCCCTCGTAAGCGCGGCCTCGGCTTCAGCAGCCCTGGCCTCCGCCTCTCTCGCCCTCGCCTCGGCCTCCGCAGCCCTCGCCTCGGCCCCTGCCACCCGTGCCTCGGCCCCCGCCTTCTCCCCGGCCGCGGCGTCTAGGTCGGCGATGGCGCGTTCCGCCACCGACATGGCCTCCAGCGCCTCCTCCCGCGCCTCGGCGAGCTGGTGCCGGACGCCTTCCAGCTCCAGGGCGGCCTCTGGGCCTCCTGCCGCCGCACCGGGAGCGGCGGCCTCGGCCACCTCGCAGCGCCGCGTCAGCTCGGCGATGCGCTCCGCGTCGGCGGCGCGCGCCTTTTTGGCCTTGATCAGCTGCAGCTTGTGGCGCTTGACGTCGTCGGCCGCAGCCGCAGTGGCAGCCGCCGCCGCCTCCGCCGCCGCCGTCGCGGCCGCCTCCTCTGCCGCGGCCAGCTCCGCACGCAGCGACTCCAGCATGGCGTGCAGGTCGGCGCGCTCCGCACGCTGGGCCTCCACCTCGGCCTCCAGCGCCGCCACGCGCTCCCCTGCAGGCCCCGCCACCCCCACCTCGGCCGCCTCCAGCGCGCCCTGCATCTCCAGCAGCTGCGCGCCCAGCCCGTGCACCTGCGCGCGCGCGCTTTCCAGCTCACGCACGGTTTCCGGATCCGCCGCCCCGCCCCGCTCCTCCAGCTCGCGCCGCGCCTCTCCCAGCGCGCGCTCGGCCTCCTCGAGCCGGGAACGCAGCTCCTCGCGCTCCGTCTCCAGGGCCCGCAGCTCCTCGCGCTCCGTCTCCAGGACCCGCAGCTCGTCGCGCTCCGTCTCCAGGGCCCGCAGCTCGGCCTCCGTCGCGATCAGGTGGGACTGCAGACCCCGCGCTCCCTCACGCAGCGCCTCGGCCTCCGCGCGCAGGCTCGCCTCCTCCGCGCGCAGGCTCTCCGCTTCCTCGCGCAGCCCCGTGATCTCTTCACGAGAAGTGGCCTCCGCGGCGACACGCCGGGCCTCCAGCTCGGCCTGGGCCTGCGCCAGCCGCGCTTCGGCGGCTGCCTGGACCCCCGCCAGCTCGGCGCGCGCCGCCTCGGCCTCGGCGGCCGCCTCGGCCGCGGCCTCCTGTGGAGCAAGTGGGGCAGATGCCGGTGGGCCTGAGCTTGATTTCGAGGCCATGAGCGTCGGAGATGCTCGTGCCCAAGACCCTGTAGGACCATGACAGCTGTGTTTGGGGAACGACCGACAGGGCCGGGTCAGCTCCAAGAGTCCAACCTGGGCCACCCCGCCCCCCCACTCGGCCCACCGTCTTGCTCTCCAGCAGGTCCATCAGCTTCAGGTTCTCGGCGTCCAGATCCTCCAGTTCCTGGAAAGAGGGTTGGGACGCCGAGGGACACTCAGGAGCTGTCAACCAGACGTGTCACGGGCCGCCGGCTGTACGCCCAGCAGGTACATGCCTTCGGCCGGGCCGGCTGCCAGACACCAGCCTGCATCGACACTCTCACGGCACCGCACCTGGGCATGCTGCTGCCGCAGGCGGGCCAGCTCCTCCTCCATCGCCGTCTGACCCTGGCCCAGCTGGCTCTGCATGGAGGGGTGGGGCATGCGTGGGTGTGTTTGTTTGTGTGTATGCACCAGGGGGCCTGACCACGCAAGGTTGGCCGGCGGGGCAAAGGCGATGCGCCAGAGGACCCCCCCCTCCCGTCGGGGGGGCAGGGGGGCCCATGCCGTCTTCACACAAACTCATCGGCGTGCAGCGCTGCCCTGGCGCGCCCATGCAAGCCTCCGCACACACACACCGAGCCTCGGCGACCCTCTGCAGCCTGCTCCACGCACACGCCGCGCCCATCGATTGGCCAGGCTGCGCAGTGCCTCCCCTTCTCCCCCGTCCCGAGCCCCCCCTTCGATCCCTTGTTTTCCACCCACCAGCATCGCCTGCGCGTCCTGGAGCTGCCCCCGCAGCGACTCCAGCTCTGCATCCCTGTGGAAGAGGGGGGAAGGTGTGCGCGGGAGGGTAAGGACGGGTGGGGCGTCCTGCCGACATGGCAGCCCCAGCCCCCGAAACCCCCATTCGGTTTTCCCGGGGGGTTCCGGCTCAGGCCCTGCCACCGTGCCAGGCTTGACCCATTCCAGTGTCGCCCTCCCCACACCCCAACCCTAAACACGCCCACCTGGCCCGGAGTTCGGCGGGGTCGAAACGCTCCCCCCCCGCCTGCGCCGCCGCGAGCTCCGCCTCCAGCTCGGCGATGCGGTCCTGCGCGGTGCGCGCGGCGCCGGCCCCCACCGCGATCTTCTTCTTGGCCAGCGCGAACTTGCGGGACAGGTCGTCCACGCGCGCCGCCGCGGCCGCCGCCTCGGCGCGCGCGGCGTCGCGCTCGCGCTCGGCGTCGGCGGCCGCGTCGCGCGCGGCCTCGAGCGCGGCGGCCCCCGCCTCCACCGCCGCGCGCAGGTCGGCCTCCTTCTGCTCCACCGCGGCGCGCATGCGGTCGCGCACGTCGCGCAGCGCCTCCTGCACGCGCCGCGCGGCGC